CTCCTAAAAATTGGGGGCCCTAGACATTTGTCTATGCTAGATGCCCCCGTGGCCGGTCTGAGTATACTTTTTTAGGAATTTCTAACTTTACACGCACATTTGTAGTTGGTATGTGTGATCTTGTCACTTTAGCGACGCCTGTAAATGCATCATGCATAGAGTCTGCTACATTATTGAGATCAAATATTCTTTTGACTTCACCTTCACATTGTGAAATGCGAGGATTAAAACGAGACAAAGTGAGGACGTACACACCATGATAATTCATGTTGTTCTTGTGGAAATTCTTTTTTCCTATCTCGCCATAACGATGGGGATGTTGTCTCATCAAAGTGACAATCTGCATTCATCATCTAAGAGACAATCCAAAAATCTTGCGGTAAAGAGATCACCTCTCAAAGGTTCCAAACAACAGATAATTGTTGGGGGTTCATATCTAACATATATACCTAATTGTCTTTGAGGATCCATTTTAGTGCGTTGTGGATCAGAGTCGCAATTGGCGCATATACTGCGAAACCAAATATGCGTAGATGTGAAATACCAAGCTCATATCTAGTTACCAATTATATTGTTATGCTGAAAATGATTGGTTCACAATGTGTCTAAATGGAATAAGGGATGTTGCATTCAATGTTGCATACCGTAATGCAGATATGGGTAAGTTGGTGTGCATAACCAATGTCCTAGCTATCATTTGTAATCCTTTGATAGTAGCTTCTGCGAGATCATTTTGTGTATGTATGTAGATGGAAAATAGGATGCTCTTCAGTGATTTCGATAGACATGCAATAGTCATAAAAAATCTTTGATGTAAACTCTCCAGCATTATGAAGTCTTATAGACTTAACATGATTATCATGGTGGTGATCCCTCAAACTAATTAATTGTACTAGAAGTTCTGAAAATGGAGCGTTCCTTGTGGACAATAAAACAATGTGTGACCAACAGGTAGACGCATCCACCAGAACTATAAAGTATTTAAGTGATTCATATGCTAGATGGATGGGTGAACATATATCTCATTGTGTTCTTTGTAAGAATGAGATGTTTACTTTTGCATCTTTAGCATCGGATGATCTCGATCCTGTTTTTGCCAAAGAACAAGCTTTGCAAAACGTTTTGTGTAAATTGGACGTCGTGAAAGAGGCATGGATAGTTCTTCTGATACTTTAGAATACCTTTTTTTTCCGTTTTCAACGACCATAGGATCAACACGTTTAAGTGTGTTAGTTTTGAACCCCTTCACATTCTTCGATTGAAACAAAAGATGTCCTTGCGAATCGTCATGTCACGATTCAAATGCACAAGACGGTCATGTCAAAGCATGCATGAGTCTATGAACCATATTCCATTATTAGTGACACTATAGGATTCAAAGACTTCGAATACTTGTGACATAAAGTCCACCAGATTGACTCATTAATTTCTTTAGTATGCATTTTCTTTCGCATTCGTTAAAGGTAATGTATAAGTATTTTATTCCATTCTCACAATGAGTTTTTGCATGAAAACCATTACCACGAATATCTTTGAAACTTAACAAGGTTCGTGTAGCTCTATGTGCATATAGAGCGTCTGTGATATAAAAACTTGTACCATTGATAATGTACACCTGACAATACCTCGCCCTTCTATAACATATGATGAACCAATCATTGTAGTCACAAATGAATTATAAGTCAAAAGTTAAGTAAAGAGTTGTCTATTTCTTAACATAATGTGACTTGAGCCACTATATACTAAACTCTCAAGTTCTCCTCGAGTCATTCCAGTATAATGTAGAAATATAATATAAAATTGAAATGAAAATTTTGGATATCGTTGGGAAGTTAAATTAAACCCAATTATTTAAATAAAATGACAATCATATATCAACATAAAAGAAATGTGAAAACAAGAGTTCAAAAGTGCTTAAATGTCCATCAATAAGCAAAGAAATTAAAGTGAATTAGTCAAAGTCTAGTGCATCATATCAATTGACTCAGTGACGTTTTTCTTTCCACCAAAGTCAACAATAGTTAGGTTAGCATTAACCTCATTTTCTCCTTCAATCACACAATGAGATTCATGTCCCTTAGACTCTCGGTACCTCTTGTACGCGGCTGCGACTTTATTGTCAACTCGGGAATTCTTGTATCAATTTCCACAAATTCCGGATCTGTAGCAAGGTTCTACACCAAATCTTTCCCGTTTGCTCGGAGGTTTTGTGGACGCGTTGTTAACTTTGTTTTGTTGATCACTTGTGTGAACACCCACACCTCTTCTCCATGCTTTGTAAGATTCTCCTCGCCTCGTACCACGACCACCACGCCCCCCGCTATTGCCACTACCTCTCCCACGATGTGAACTACTACATATATTATATTTATGGGAGTAAGGATTGACATGTCCTTTGCCCCTTGCATTGAGGCTCTTTCCACTATTTATTTTGGAGAATATTATCCGAAATAGGACTAAAAAAGTTTGAAAATTCCAAAATAGGAATGTCATGTTTTATTCCCAAAAAAGGACTAATTACTGCGATGTTTTGGCGGTACCGGACTTCAAACATGGAAATATTTTCAAAACTTGGCAGTAATTACTCCTATTTTGGGAATAAAAACATGGCAGTCCTATTTTGAAATTTTCAAACTCTTTTAGTCCTATTTCGAGAACTTTCCTTTTATTTTGGCATAGTCAGTTTCTTGAATTTTCTTTGCCTCGATTGGTCTAGCATTGTTGTTAAAAAGAACTTGATTATGCCTCTAAGCTACTTGGAGTAGGTTCATTAATTGATTATATGGTGTTATTCTTTTATTACTCCTCCCGTCCCGAAAAGGTTGGCCAAATTTTCTTTTTTGGATGTCCCAAAAAGATTTGTCATTTCCATTTAAAGTAAGGAGGAATATGTGGCTAAAGTTAATTCTCTCTCCTCTGCACAAATTTTAACCACACACTTTTTACTTTATTAATCCACATGAAAGTCAACTTTAGTCAACCTTTTCGGGACGGAGGGTGCATTCTGCTACAACCAATACTGGTTTGCAAGTATAAGTGTTGAGCTAGGAAATGTGGAAAGAGTCTTGTCATTCATTAATTCACATGCTGTGATTATTTCACCACAAAATTAAAGTTGAGTCGTGCCTTGATGCGCAACATATCCTTATTGAAATTAGTCACCCTTTTGTAGTCAATCAAGCGAATTCATTCCACTGCACCGTGAGATATGTGAGCAATGTATCATGAATCTTCAAAAAACGCCCTACGAGGGCAACCCACAATTCTTTGGGAGTTTTCAATTGGAGATACTCCTTACACATACTTGGGTCATAGTGACGCCTTAGAAACATTAATGTAGCAACTTTTATTTTTTCAATCAATGAGTGTGTTTGGCATTTAGTGGTAAACGGTTAGCGGTTAGCAGATTATGTTAGCAGGTTGTCAATAGCAGATTCAATCAGTGGGTTTGACTAGCGAAATAAATTGACGGGTTGCCAGAAGATGTTTTCAATTGGCGTTGATAGTAGAAAACGCCATATTTTAAAATGCTAACCCAAAGCTCTCATATTTGCAGCGTTTTTATTTCAGTGATTCCATCCAAAACAACTATTTGCCAAACAACTTTTCATTTATTGAAAACACTAAAAGCGGTCAAATCGCCATTCTTTGGCTGAAAAGTCATTTTTCAAACACACCCGAAATGCACTGTCTTTTCAATTTATATGTTTATCCTTGAAATTGAGAGAATATTTAATATGCATTTACGTAAACATAAAAACATGTACATAATTATATTTTAAAAACACTTTATATATATTATAGGAAACTGGTTCATTTATTGATTAAAAAATAAATAAACTAATTTTACATATAATATCGTCAAATATACCGAAAAATTGAATGAAATTATGAAAAATTGATATATGGAAATGTAGATATATGACTACTAGGTCATCATTTAATTTCAATTGTTGAAAATATTGGTCTAGCGGTCTCTCCCTAGCAGGTCTAGGGTTAGGTTTTTCCTTAGCAGATCTAAGGTTTGGTTCTTCCGGCCGGTGAATTCCCTTCACCTGTGTCCGGCGCTGAGATTGGAGTTGAGGCAGATTGACAAGAATTCTTACTCAATCTTGACGACATCGAAGCCAGAGTTCGGTGATCGATTTCTTCACGAGCAGGGTAGTAAAGGCATGACAACGATGAAGATGACCGCTAGCGGCGGATTTGCTACGAGCGCGGGACGAGGAGAGTTGTACGGATTTCAAGCAGGCCAGATGATGATTGACAATGGAGGATCAATTAGAGTGGTACCAAGGATACAACCCTACGAGCGCGGGACGAGGAGAGTTGTACGAAAGTTTTTCAATAAGTTTTTATTATCTTGTCATTTGGTTTCTTGTTATCGTCTATGTTGTAAGGTTTGTCAGTTTGTTTGGGAATTTAACCTTGTTTTATGTCATTGAGCATGTTTGGATTTATGGGAATATGGATACTGTGTCAAACCCGTTACATGGTTAGCGATTCGTGTTGCTCTTTGAGGGGTGACTCATTGACTAATGAAAATCGGCGTATGCCTTATAGGTCGTCTGATAGACTGATACCATGTAAATGTTTATAAAACTCACCTTGAATTGGTGAGACAACTTTCATTGATATATATACTACGATATACGGTACAAGCTATTTACAGAATATACCAAAAAACAATTTACAATAATAATTGCTAAAGATCTAATTAATTAATTAATTAATTAATTAATTCTTGATTAATAGTAGAAGAATCTGGATGATCTCTCTTAATTGCGTTAACAGACATATTAGTCCACAAAAAATATTTATTTAATTATTTATTAATATGTTAATTAATATGGACGAATTATCTATGACTTTATAAAGTAATAAGGTCATAGATTGAAAATGTGATGGAGTTTTAGTCATACCTAGGATAATTTTCTCTTTTTTTATCATGTTCTTCATCAAGTCTAGTTATTCATACCAAATTTCAGCTAAAAATTCAATGGAGAAGACAATCAAATAAATTATTTAAGAACACTGCGCAGTTAAAACAACATATGTGGAAAGAATATGTGGATTTCTTTATAAAATTTAAGTCATGTTGGGATATATTATCCCGACCTATTACTGTTCAGGAGCCCAAGACATTATTCAGTACGGAACCCGAGCAGCTAGGCCCATTGCGGCCCATCCGGCCCACTTTAGCCATTTGGGCCACTCCGGCCCATGCGGCCCATTAGGGTGGAGAGCATCCCCTTCCCCTATTCTCTATAAATATGGGAGTTTCCCTCCATATTATGCATCCCCTTTTGATCCCTCTTTTTAGCTTCTTCTTCCTCCTTTTAGACTTAGCTCAATACTCCATTAATGGGAGCTTGTACAATGTAATTGTGAGGAGAGTCCTAATGAGAAAGAGAGGGCTTGGACATTAGCCTAAAAAGTCCCGTGGTTTTCTCCCTTTAGGGTTTTCACGTAAAAACTGAGTGTTCATACATATATTTACTATATCGGCGCCGTCTGTGGGAATCTGTCCAAAAAGATTCATGTATTCTGCTGTTCTTGAGTTTCTACGAGAAAAATTCATACGAAGCGGACTGATTCCAGCAAAAGAAGAAGAAAAAATTCTAAAGAAAAGAGTCTGTGAAGTCAAGTCTGGATTTCTCCAGATCTGGGTTTGGGGTCACCGGAGCCGTAGTTACCCTTCCCGCCGCGGTGGATCCTCCGGTAAGTCAGTTTGCACCAGACGGAGACCGATTGCAGCATCCCAGGTCTCAAGATCTTGGTCCTAGGAGAACTCCATCGCAGCAGCACTGTTCATCGGGTGAAGCTCGATTCCCCAACTTCGACGCAACACCGTCATCTGTCGCCGGTAGAGAGCTGATGGTCACCCCTCCGTCTGGCCAGTCGTTGCTCGGGCCCCAACTTCTCCATCGACGAGGCTGGGAAGGAACTCCGGCAGAAAGTTCCCCGATTTCTGCCATTAATGGCAGCTTCAAGTTCGGAGAAGTACGCTTTGTGGTTCAGCCAAACCTCCACCAGAGATTAGCACCCGTGGCCACCCGTGCTCCGCTGCAGGAGCCATCTTCGCAGACCGCCGTCAATATGTTCGGCTTGGTTGGGGTCAACGAGCCTGCAAGTGGGTTCTTCATCCAACTGTTCCAAAAGATACTCCCGTATAAGTTGCTATGATCCTAAACTGACCACGTCCTGCAAGTTGAGGCCAGATAATGGAATGCAATTTTCCTTGGAGAGATTTTGACCAAGTCAAAATTGAGGAAGGGGGTTTAATCTCAATGCACTAGAAACTATCTGGCCGAACCTACACCCCATAAAGCTAAGTACCCATACTCTGAGTTGGTGCGTTTAATTATTATTGATGCTATGGAATAATATTCTTGCTATTAGTTAATTTGTTTTTGTCACCATTATTTAATAGGGATAAAAATATCCCGAAATTAAATAATGCCGAGCAAGGCCCAAATGAGTGAAAGCTCTAGTGATAATTAGTTTGACCGTCATTTAAATTAGATGACTGGTTGTTGTGGGTCCATCGGCCCGCTCCTAATCGGCTTTAACTAGCGATCGGAGCATAACTGAATGACCTATAATAGGGTAACATCAGTTTAATTACTTGCAATATCACTATTATTTATTAGGGATAAAAATGTCCCGACTTAAATAATGTGGAGCGAAGCTCTAGTGATGGCTAGTTCAGCCAACACTTTTATTAAATACTTAATTATTTGTGGGGTTGTTGGCCCCCTCTCGATCAGCTTGATTAAGCGATCCGAACGTCTCCAGAGGGTAGTGCCCCGATGACGCTTTTTTAAGTTGGGGTTGCGCATTAGTCTGCACGGCATCAATGCCTGATCGATGATCGTACCTCAGTACCATCCGCGCCGCTAGGCGCAAAGTGACTATTGCCAGACACAGCCTGTGAGGCCCGAGGGCACCAAAGCACTCAACCTCGTTTTTCCGAGGGCGGTGCGACCAACTTGGGTCTGAGTTTGAAAACTCACAGACCGATGAATATTTCTATGTGACGTTCGGCGGGCTGCTAATTGGCCCCGCCGCGAGCTGCGACGTCCATTAACCCCGCACGATGAGTCGGGCCGAGGGTCACGATAACCCATAGGCCAGTAATCGTGAATGTTAGAGAGAAAGCCATGCAGATGGTTGTGTGTGTATACATATTGTCGGGCCGTGCGGCCCGTTACCATGCTTATTGCGCAGCTGAAGCCACTCGACGCGCTCGAGCGAAATGATTAAAAGACGCTCGGCCCGAGTCTTGAAGACATTCAGGGCCAGCTAAAGTGGAGACCATCACGGCTGAGAGCCGATGGACGAGCATCTCCACCCAGAGGTCGAGGGCTTAGAGGAGACCACCACGGTTGAGAACCGTGGGACGAGCATCTCCACCCCATAGACCGATGGCCTAGGAAGAACACCTAGAGGCCGAGGGTCTAGAGTGGACTACCACGGCGGAGGACCGTGAGACGATCATCCATCATTCAGAGGCCGAGGGCCTAGAGGAGACCATCACGGCCGAGGGCCGTGAGACCATCCTGATTTTCAGGTCGGCCTCTCATTGCCGACATCATCATATCACGACCGGCCTCTCGGCATGGCGTGATTATCATATTTGAAGACCGGCCTCGTCCCCGCGCTGCGCGGAAGAGGACCGCTGCTTGGTTCTTTCATGTCGGCCTCTCATCGCCGACACCATTACATCACGACCAGCCTCCCGGCTCGGCGTGCTTTCCATATTTGAAGACCGGCCTCGTCCCCCGCACTACGCGGATGAGAGCCGTTGCTGGATTGCAAGTCGGCCCCTCATTGCCGACACTGCCACATCATGTTTGGCCTCTCATCGCCGACATCATCATACCACGACCGGCCTCTCGGCTCGACGTGCCTATCTTTTAAAGACCGGCCTCGTCCCCACATTGCGCAGGTGAGGACCGTTGCTGGATTTCAGGTCGGCCTGTCATTGCCGATGTCATTATATATCACGACCGGCCTCTCGGCCCGACGTGATTATCATATTTGAAGACCGGCCTCGTCCCCGCCCTCGCGGACGAGGGCCGTTGCTTGATTCTTTCAGATCGGCCTCTCATTGCCGACACTGTCATATCATGTTCGGCCCCTCGGCCCGGCGTGATTATCATATTTGAAGACCGGCCTCGTCCCCGCCCTCACAGACGAGGGCTGTTGCTTGATTTTCTCAGATCGGCCGCTCATTGCCGACACCATTATATCACGACCGGCCTTCCGGCTCGGCGTGCTTTCCATATTTGAAGACCGGCCTCGTCCCCCGCCCCTCGCGGACGAGGGTCATTGCTTGATTCTTTCAGTTCGGCCTCTCACTGCCGACACTGTCATATCATGTTATGATCGGCCTCTCGGCACGACATATTTATCTTTTGAAGACCGGTTTCATCCCCGCGATGCGTGGATGAGAGCCGTTGCTCAGATATATCGGCCTGACCGGACACTATTGCCACCTCCATTATCAGGACCGACTGCTCAACGACATTATGATCATTGTATATCGGCTCCTAATGCCGACCTTCTTGAGTTAGCGATCGGGCTCACCCCTCCCTTCAGGAGGGTGACCATCGCCTTCGCATGACGACCAGCATTTCCATCGCCTCGTCATTCTATTCATTTTGATATCCCACCACCATTATGTGTGACATCACTTGTGGTTATTCTTGGAACCGACGAACGTATTTTCCTCCCACAAAAAAAAAAAGAAAAAAAAAGAAGAGAAAAAAAAGATGGGGAGAAGGGGAGACGAGCTCCTATGAGAGAGGGAGTCTTGACGAGGTATGCCAGATCTTCCTTCGCCGCGAATGACGAACGTCTCCTGACACGGAGGCCAGTAGAAATGTGTGGGGGGGGGGGGGGGATAGACGAACCAAAGGGAACCTCGACAAGATAAACCAGTTCCTCCCATGACCCATGGATCGACGAACACCTTCTGCCGAAGTAGAGGGCTAGTAGGGCCACGAGCGTGGGGCGACAAAGCAGGGAACCCGCGATAGGGTAAACCAGTTCCTCCTTGCGATCGGTGAATGACCGAATGTCTTCTTCGAGGGAAGAAGGTTAGTAGGATCACGACAGTGACGAACGAAGAAACGGGAACCCTGACAGAGTGTACCGGTTCCTCCCCCTTATGGACAAATGACGAACGTCTTCTGCGAAGCCAGAAGACTAGTAACTCACGACTGGGGACGAACAGAGATAGGGAATCCCGACGTGGATAAACCTGTTTCTTCTCATAGTTGGGATGACGAACGTCTCCTGCGAAACCAGGAGACCAGTAACTCACGAGACTTGGGAAGAACGAAGACCAGCTCCATGGATCAGACACGGAGGACCAGTTCTTTATCGGAGTCTGTTGCGTGCCGAGTGTACACCGCTAGGCGGTCCATACATAGGACCACGAATACGGTAGACGAACGAAGACCAGCTCCATGGATCAGACACGAAGAACCAGTTTTTTATCGGAGTCTGTGCGTGCCGAGTGTACACTGCTTAGCGGTCCGTACATAGGACCACAGATACAGTAGACGAACGAAGACTAGCTCCCCAGATCAGACAGGAGGGACCAGTTCTCCACCGGAGTCTGTTGCGTGCCGAGTGTACACCGCTTAGCGGTCTGTACATAGGACCACAAATACGGTAGACGAACGACGATCAGCTCCCCAGATCAGATAGGAGGGACATCGCCCAGATTTATTTCAGGCTCACCATTCCTTCCCGGATGGAGTCCTGGCAGACGATCGGCTTCTCACAGCGAATCAGGATAGAGACTTGACACATCACCAGCACGGCTGGGGGCCGTGAGACGATTATCACTCACTGACAGGCCGAGGGCCATGAGATGATCATCACCATTTTTATGTAGCACAATCGGCCCCTCAGCGCCATCGTGTCCAGATTCACGGTTCGGCTCGCACATCCCCTCCAGGATGGCGACGACCGTCTTATGCAGCACGATCGGCCCCTCAGCGCCATCGTGTCTCTTTCACGTTCGGATCGCGCATCTCTTCCAGGATGGCGACGAACGTCTTATGCAGTGCGATCGGCCCCTCAGCGCCATCGTACCTGGCTTCACGGTTCGGCTCGCACATTCCCTCCAGGATGGCGACGAATGTCTTATGCAGTGCGATCGGCCCCTCAGCGCCATCGTACATGGCTTCACGGTTCTTCTCGCACATTCCCTCCAGGATGGCGACGACCGTCTTATGCAGCACGATCGGCCCCTCAGCGCCATCGTGTCTCTTTCACGTTCGGATCACGCATCCCCTTCAGGATGGCGACAAACGTCTCATATGCAGCACGATCAGTACCCCAACGCCATCGTGTCTGGCTCGTGTTCGGCTCGCCCATCCCTTCCAGGATGGCGACGAACATCTCTTATACAGCTCGATTGGCCCCTCGGCGGCATCATGTCTAGTCCACCTCCGGCTCCGCCCATGCCATCTCGGATGGGGGACCCGTCTTATGCAGCATGATTGGCCCCTCGGCGGCATCATGTCTAGTCCACCTTCGGCTCCGCCCATGCCATCTCGGATGGGGGACCTGTCTTATGCAGCACGTCTGCTTCTCGGCGCTGACATGCCCGAGTTATCGATGAGAGCTACTGCTTCTAGGGCTGAGCAAAACCCGAACCGACCCGCAAAACCCGAAGTTTTTTCCGGATATTATCCGAACCGAAATGGATATCCGACCCGAAAAACCCGAAACCGAAAATCCGATTAGTATTGGGCCTAGATCGGGTGGCGGGTAGGGTTTGTATAATCTCAACCCGACCCGCCCGAATATCCGAAATATATTAAATAATTTAGTGTGTACTTTGAATATGTTAAGTTAATACTTGTGTTCAATTATTTGTGTAATTATTTGTGCAATTTGTGTTAAATTATTTTTGTAATTTGAATGTGTAGTGCACTAGTGTGTACAATTTTTGTCAAAGTGACATTCCAACACTTTAATTATCCAATTATAATGTGTTTTAATATAACCGAAATATTCGAAATATATTAAATTATGTAGTGTGTACTTTGAATATGTTAAATTAATACTTGTGTTCAATTATTTGTGTAATTATTTATGCAATTTGTATTAAATTATTTGCGTAATTTGAATGTTTACTGCACTAGTTTGTAGATTTTTTGTCAAAGTGGCATTCAAACACTTTAATTATCCAATTATATATATTTTTTAATATAACCGAAATATCCGAAACCCGATCCGATATCCGACAATATCCGACTTACAAATATCCGAAAAACCCGATTTGAAATATCAAAGGGTCGGGCCTAGTATTTAACTTAAAAAACCCGAACGGGTTTAGGGTACGCAGACCCGACCCGACCCGCCCGAACCCGACCCGTGCTCAGCCCTAACTGCTTCTATCACATCTTGCATTCCCTCTCTCATACATTACATACATACATTACATGCATACATACATTCATGCATCATACCTCATACATTCATACATACACACGTGCATCATGTTTTGACAGTACCGCGACGTCGGTTTATAGATGCATGGACCTCTAAGCTTCTCCGATTGGAAAGCTCGAGTCAGAGTCCTTTACTCCCGCCTGATGCATTCAGGGGGAGTGTGCCCGTGGAGGAGCACCCTTCGCCCGACCCCGTCGAAGACACAATTTCCAGCAAGACAGAGGAAGAGCGCAGACAAGAGTATATTTTCTCGAGCAGATTCGCACGCTCACTACTCAAGAAACTGGGGGACTTGTGTTGGGATATATTATCCCGGCCTATTACTGTTCAGGAGCCCAAGACATTATTCAGTACGGAGCCCGAGCAGCTAGGCCCATTGCGGCCCATCCGGCCCACTTTAGCCATTTGGGCCCACTCCGGCCCATGCGGCCCATTAGGGTGGAGAGCATCCCCTTCCCCTATTCTCTATAAATATGGGAGTTTCCCTCCATATCATGCATCCCCTTTTGATCCCTCTTTTTAGCTTCTTCTTCCTCCTTCTTTTAGACTTAGCTCAATACTCCATTAATGAGAGCTTGTACAATGTAATTGTGAGGAGAGTCCTAATGAGAAAGAGAGGACTTGGACATTAGCCTAAAAAGTCCCGTGGTTTTCTCCCTTTCGGATTTCCACGTAAAAACTGAGTGTTCATACATATATTTACTATATTGTGTTGGATTAAAACTCAACAAGTCATAACATATGTGTAGGACCCATGTTTAATTGTTTACATACAACTTTGAGAAGAGGGAGGAGATTACCTCAAGAACTCCTTGCTCCTTAACAGGGAAGAAGACAACCTTGAGAAAAACCTGAAAATGTAAATGAAAAAATAAAAAATAAAACATGGCTCGTATATGAAGTATGAAGTATGAAGTATGATCTCCACAGGCACTCCTCTACATATGACATCAATAGGAAAAAGTAGTAAATGGCGTCATTATAAACACCATCTTATAGTCATTACATCTTCAAGTTTTCTCCTTCGCGCAATGAAAGTTAAACTTCGATTGTAGAAATTCAAATAAAAACTGGTTTGATAGTAAATATTGTTTTTCATTTACTTATATGCTTTTAAGCAATATGCTTTCGAAAAGAATGTAGTCTTACCCGTAAGTTACATTTACACGTTGCTTCCTCCGTTCTTTTTTAGTTACTAACGGTCAACATTTCACACTTGCCAACGCACGTCTTTGACCGTAATTATATCTTAATCTCTATTAGTAAAAAAATATTTAAAAATTAGATTTTGAAAATTTGTAATGACATGAATTGAAAAATATTTTTTTAAAAAAATAATTTTCATAAAATAATAATATAAAATGTAGTCAAAATAGAACATATGAATAGTGTAAAATTCAACATGTTGGCATGTTGCGATTAAAAAGAGACGGAGATAGTACAACATTTTCTAATTTCCTACTGACACTATGGTTGCACCAAAAGAAACAAAAAGGGAGAGAATAAAAAAGATGCCATGAAGGTGCAGATAATAAAAGTTGTCATTCCTTTTGCATTTCTAATGAGTACCTTATAATGAGTAATATGTAGACAGTAGATTAAAAACATAGCAAAATAGTTCATTCCAGCAGCACACTATATCTTCATTTAGATTAATTGAAGAAGTAAGGAAGAGTGAAATATGTTGAGAGTCGGTAAATATGTTGATTTTTTTTATCAATCCTGGCTTGTATTTGAATTTCAAAATTAATTTCATGTGGGAAAAACATTCAAATAATAAATTGTATAAAATTGCCTTAAATGTAAAAAAAATTAAGAATTTGTCATAATTGAATTAGAATTTGACTAAATTCAAATAAGAGGAAATTTGATTAATTGAAAACACATAACCTCTAGTCTCTACGAAATCAGACTTCACCTTCGAGCTTCTCCTGACAGATTGCCGGATCAAAATCACTTTTGTACGTAGCAAAACCTCCTTCAATCCCGTTTGAGAGAAGTGGACTGGTGTGGGAGAATAGGAGCCATGGAGGTGAAGAGGTGCGCGGATGAGTGACGATTTGAATGAATGTACGGATGGAAAGAGTCAGAAGATGCTACAGTCTACTTGGTGCATGGAGGTGAAGAGTGAAGAGGTGTGGCGGAAGGTTAGGATGTGAATGAATGAAGGATGGAAAGAAATGAAACAAGCCTTGAGAAAAGAAGGGAAAAAAATTGCGAAAGAAAAAATATTGGTGATATTTTCATCTCAACCATCCAGATCGTTTCTAAATAAATGGTGAAGATTGATTTTTTTTTTTTGCAATTAATGGTGAAGATTGATTTGTATCGCTATTAAGTATAAGGATTGCTCATACATATTAAAACTTTTGGTCGTCAGTAATGTGAATCAATGCTCTAAAAGTTTAAAATTTCACACCAAGGTCACTCACTAATTTTTACATTCCAGAAATTTAAATATTTGTTGCCTTTTTTACTTTTGACTTTGTAGTACATAATGGTGGTAGCCGAAAAAAGCAAGCAACGGGTAATTGTAACTTACGGGTATTACCTAGTACTCCGTAGTTGTTACTACCTACTACGTATGTGTCAGCAAGCGATTGTCTAAATATGGTTACACGTGTAACAAATTGTCTTGAATGATGACATCAGCATGACTTAATTGTGACGTCATGTACAGGCGGGAACATGTTTTTGCCTCACGTCCAACTTCGTTCTCTTCTAATTGTAATATTGAACTTTTTTCACTATTCATAAGTTCTACTTTGATTATATTTTATTAATTAATACTCCGTATATTATAAATTATTTTTTAAAAAAATATTATTAAATTCTTCTCATTCTAAATTTTCAATATATGATTTTTTTAAATTTTTTAATAATAAGAAATAAAAGATATTAATGGTCAAACTTGTGCGTTGGCAACTGTGAAAGTTAACTGTTTCAATTAAAAGGGAACGAAGGAAGTATAAAGATGTGACTAATAGAAATATAAAATGTCTCCACTGACCATAGGGCAGGGGGAAATATCGAAATTTCGGAAATCATATTGAAAAATATCAGATTGGTGTTAATGGTAGAATAGGAAGATAGGAAAATTTATAGAAAAATATCAGATTTACATGTTTTTTTTTTGTAAAAGTTACAATATTTTTATTATTTATATTTTTATTACAAATTAAAATATAATTATCCTATGAAGTGATGGTAAAGCTAAGGTAGAATAGGAAGATAGGTATATTTTAGTCTTATTTTGAAAAGATAATTAATATAGTCATATCATGTTTGTACATTTAGAGATTAATATAGAGTCCTATTTAGCGTTATTATCTCTAATAATACTAGGTACTACGTAATAGTGAGATGGCAAGTAACTACATTTAAATAACATGACTGAAACAAGAATGGGGTAATTAAAAATCAGCTATATCTTTATTAGACATTTAAACACACCATTATGAATGATTTCATAATCATTGGAATGTCTCAGAATTTTTTTGAATACACCTAAAGTTCTATTAATTCTAGATAAATCAATTGAATACAACTAAACTAAACTTTAGTAGTTTTATTAATGACTTTTTAAAGCGTACACTGATTATTTTCTTCTTCATAAATCAATATTCACTATTATTGAAATTCATAGCCATTAATTCGCAATATACATTAGGCCATGCATGTAGGTCAAGAATATTCGCTTTCCAAAACATCATATACAAGTACTCGATGCATTTCTTTTGCTCCTATCTCACAACCCTCAATTTTTTTAGTCATGTGTAATCAACAGGTACGCAATCATATTTGGTGATTGGGAAAATGTGAGAAGCTCTATACTGTTTATTCTACTACGCATTTCTTAATTTGGGTTAGAGATGATGTTTACGTGACACGTGCATCTCCAGCAACTACAAGAGGAAAAAAACATGTTACACTGGAAGAAATAATTAAAATACTATCAAATAAAGTAGAATAACTTGGAAAAAAAAATTAAAATCGAAAGAAAATGTTATGCAATCATTTAGAAAAAAAATAAATTACTGCCAATTATGTAATATAACTTTTGGTTAAAAAACTAGTTTGGCTCTATACTGTTTATTCTACTACGTATTTTTTAATTTGGTCAAACGTGATTTGGAGTTCATTCAATTTAAATTCCATGAGTGATGAGTGTCCGATTTTTCCTTCTCAATTACAGGAGAAATCAGATTACGTGACTTTTTGGGTTTATTTTAGCCCCTAATCTAAACGAGCTTACAGTGAGCGATTGAAATTGTGGTTTTAAAAATGGGAAAATTTCTGAAAATAGGAGTACATTTTTTTTGAAAATTCTAAAATAGGATTGTCATGTTTTTATTCCCAAAATAAGAGTTATTACTGCCAAGTTTCAAAAATACTACTATGTTTAAAGTCTGATACTGCAAAAATATAGCAGTAATTAGTCTTATTTTGATAATAATAAAAGCAAGATAATCATATTTTGGAATATATAAACCTTTTAACCCTATTTAGGGTAATTTCCCCTTTAAAATCCATTTTGACTTTAATTTAGAAGATGAGTGAATGATAAAATTAAACAAGCAATAAGCAAGTAGAAGATGATGTAATTGGTTGAATAGACACAAAATAGAATTCTGCCCCGCCTCCTCATATTTGATTGAATTAATGAAATTCTTTATTTGTTTACTCATTTTTCCTCCATATGTCATAGACAGACGGCTATGGATCACCACACTAGTAGAATACTGGCTTACAGTGACACTTTTATAGTGACACTTTCTGATATAATGCTACCAGTAACACAAAAGTGTCACTATTTTCTAACATAAATACATCAGCATTGCATGGTGACACTTTTTACTAATGGGCCGGGCTAGAAAGTAATATTTCAACGCGTTTTTTCCCACTACCCTCCCGTTTCAGATCAATTTGCATCGACTCAACTCTTTCGCTTCTTTCTACAAACCCTATCTCCTGGTGACTTATTTTCTTGTTCCCGCTGCTAGCCGCCCGTTCTCGTCGCCGCATCCCATCACCTCCGGCCTACCACGTCTATGGTTGCACCTATCGCCGCCTGCCTACCACGTCTCTGGCTACACCCGTCGTCGCCTACTTCCCAAGTCGCTGCCTGGGCTCCAGCCACAGTCGGCGCTTCACATCTCCTTTTCCTCTCGGGTTTTTCCGCGCAATCGTATGATCTCCGGCCGATTGTAAGTTCGAATGGTAGCCTCTTTTATTCTAGCTTGTTGGTTAGTTTTTACTACGTACATTTTAATTTCATTTACCCCATTATTTTTAATTTACTGTTTAGTTTTGTTTTGTTTAATATCATTATGAGTGTTAAATATGAAATGCTAATATATGTGGTATGTTCAATTCTGCTCGAGGAACATTGCTGGAGCCTGGAGGGTTCCAACGAATTTACACTCTCTTATATCTTGATAGTCATTATTTCCTTTAATTTAAAACCGTGTGTATCATTGCTGGAGTATCTATGAACAAAGTACTTACTGAAATAATGTTTCTACAATGATTAGGCTCAAGTACTATTAATAGAGACCGGCCATTTCTATTGTGTCAACATTAACTTCTTTCTGAAGGTGGTTCATTTTCTAGTTTACACTTGTTTCCATAT